GGGCTAAGTGGGATGTGCCCGCCCGGTTTAAGAATAATTCCACAGTTGTTCGTTCTCCCCGTTCCCATTTCGCATCTTACTGTTGTTGCGCGGGGTCGTAGGGCGGTGCTCCGTGCACTTGGCCATCATCCAGCATGCTATAGGCCGGTGATCATTTCAGTGTGCGGGTTTGCAAGCCCTCGGGATTGCGGTTTTTTTTGGGAGGGGGCAGTGCTCGTGTCATCTCATCCGGCAGTTTCCTCGGAGCACTGGCTTTTTGCGGTCAGAAATTTTTGATTTAAAAAGAAGCTGGTGATTTTTGCTGCTGAACTCTCGGTACCTGTAATGGTTTTGAGTTTCTGTTAGCGGCCTATCATTTGGATACCAGAGCAGTTTGGTGTTTTTCTTTTTTTTTGTTGGCGCGGAGGGGCTGCATTGTTACTGGCTCTCTGGCTATTGATGATCCGGCAATTTTGATGTGTGTGTGTGTGTGTGTGAGCACGAGCGATTCGATTCGATTCACGGCTAATTGTAGCGCAGTGGATTTTGTTGGCTTGGTAGTTGTTTAAGAATTTTGATTATCTGGTGCATTTTTACCACGCCGATGCATTATTTTTGCCTTGCAGTTCTACTAAATGGAGAGTAATGGTGTGGAAATGAAGCCTGTGGAAGTATTGGACTTTGGCAGCAAGCAGGAGCTGAAGGAGGAGAGGCCAGCACCGCTGGGTAGCAGTAACACAAGCGATGAGCTCATTTCCATGGTGCTTCCAACACTCACACGTCCCAATAAGCGCAGACATATCAGGTTCGTTTGTTTCCGTGCAAAATACAACAACCCTAAGACAGAACAGCTCTCTCCGGAGCAGCTGTGTTCCAGAATGCGACGCCTACACAATGCTTTTTTGGTTTTTGTTATGCAGTTGTGCATATTATGCAAATGCAAAAACGCATATGGGCAAAAGACGGCGTGTGTGTGTGTGTGTGTGTATGTGTTCGCACTTTTTCTCATTCACTTTCAACTTGGGAACCAGAAAAGCTAGCTAGGAAGTTGAAACGTCGGAAGTATGTGCGAACCACATTTGCCACGTAAGATCGTTTCAAAAAAAATATGCATATTTTTTGGCGAGAAAGCGATCTCGGGAACTAGAACAGATAGAAAGCTGAAATTTCACAGAGGCATTCCGTGCACTTGTGTGAGCTGAAAATTTCAAATTCATCATTAACGCACGCATACATATCGTAAATCGCAGTCGTTGACAAAAAATATCAATTCACCAACCAAGCTAGTTAGGAGGAGGGGGACAGTTCCTCAATCTTTTCTGGTATCTGGTGTTAGCTGAGAAGGTGAAGGGTTAAAAGTTTGGATGAAGAAGGGGCAAAATTTTTCTGGAAACCAGACCGTTCCCACTTTAATACTTCGGTCATTTTGGAAGACATTCATATGTACTTGACACAGTTTGGTCAGCTGAAATTCATAATTTGTTTCTTCGGCAATGCATGTAACAACTTTCAAGCCGTTACGAGCAGTGCTGCAGTCTTCTGGCGGTTTTTCATCTCCTGAATGGAGTGCCTGTTCAGCGGACCTATTGGCAGAAGCATTTTGAAGGGTATTGAATATCAGTTGGGTAGTAAGCAGTCAGCAAAACGGCTTACTACTTTTCCCGGGTGGTTGAGGATTTATCATCTGCTGTTTCAAGTTTTACCGGCAGTATTTCCGATGATATTAATATAAGTTACGACAACAGAGTAATTTCCTACTAACTTTTCAATATGAAAGCATTTTAGGACAGATTTTGAAGATATAACTGTATCGTCGGATGCAGCTGAAGCGCAAAGACGTGAACGGGAGCGATTGCGGCGCTTATCCAAACTACGTGGCTCGGAGGCCGTTATGAGCGGTGGTGACGTAGAAGTGGCAGACTGCAAGCAAGAAATACTGACTTCCAGTGATCACCCTGAACCTGCAGCCAAATGTTCGAAGTTACCGCTACTAGCCGGTGTGAAGCCGTCGACATCTTATGTGGACACGGATGTTATCGAGCTGAGCAGTGATGAGGATTCGGATGCGGATGCACGATCGATTGGTTTGTTGATTTCTCTTTGTATGCTTTTTGACTTTTGCCAAAGTTTGCTATTCCTGCAGCATCATTAGAAGATCGGCGCAGCGTGACGTGCGTCTTTCAAGGTTTTCTGTGACATCTG